AATATAGAGGATTTGTGGATGTGAGAGTTGAGCGTGTGATGTGAAAATTGATTATGGCCAGGTTAGCAGCAGAGCCCGATTAGAACTCGAATCGCTTTGAAATTAAGCTCTTAAGTGGCTTTAAGATTTTCAATATTTGAGAAATATGCGAAATTACTGCTTCAATATGCATATGCAGTACTTTTATTGACGTACTAATACCCTGTAATCATTTGTGGTTAGTTAGACTAGACGTCAGCTGCCTGCCTTCACTGCCTCGTTTCAATATAATGAAATTATACCCTGTAAGTATTAATTAAATTGTATCGCATGTGAAATGTAAAGGATATCTATACTGCACAAACAGAGTAGATAAATTAAAGGGTATTTAAGGAATGTATTTAGTTTCGTGTTTACATTTTAATTGTTCAATGATTACCCACCGAAATCATTAAATTGACCCATTATCAAAATCAAATCAATTCATTCGATTGTCGTTTATTATCGATAACTTTGGTCTGCTTTAATAAATCGATAAAACTAACTGTTTATTAGCAATTCACAAACGAATTAAAGTTGAAACTCGAGATATTTGAGCAATTTTTGGCCCGCTGTGGTCAGCCGAGGCATTGAGAAAGATACTTTTTGACATGGGAAACGGTTTCACAGCTCCTATCTAAATTTCCAAGTGAACACGCTTATAAAACGCACAACGCTTATCGCCACAAAGCGCACTAATTCCAATATAAATAGCCGGCCAGTGCGAGCCGCAGAAGGCGCAACCACAACCACAACCACAACGACAACGACAACGGCAGCGGCAACCGCGGCAGCAGAGTCGCAGCGGCAGCCAACGAAGCCAAGGCAGCCGCTACACATAACAAATGCTACCCAATAAAACCAGTCCGATAACTGTTCATAGCCGATTAACCGAGCGGCACGCAAAGCGAACCAGACCAGAGACCAGAGACGGACCGACGGATGGAGAGACGGACGGACGGCATCAGCCAGAGGCAGTTGCAACAGTTGTCGCTGGTTGTTTGATGAGCGTGAAATACAACAAAGTTGAGAACAGCAGCAACAGCAGCAGCAGCAACAACAAGTGCGACAGCCTATAGAGAGAGAGAGAGAGAGAGAGAGAGACAGAAGAAGAGCGAGAGACAGAGAGAAGGTGAAGGTGGCCACTGGCCAGGCCACTGTCTCAGTCCTCGCTGTCTGCGTCCAGTTCTGGCTGACAAAACGATCGTAAATAATTTTTATTTCATCTTTAAGATACGAAACTAGTCTGCGCTGGCAGCGCAGTCAGCGTCACCGTCGCCGTCGCCGTTGCCGTCGACAGCAGCTCAAGAATTTAAGAAAGTTTTTCGCAAACAAAAGGCGATGATGCATATAAAAACAAAAGCCATTGGCGGTATCTGGTAACAGAACGACAGAGCGGACTCTTCTCGGGCCCCGAGGCAGCCACTAATGATAGCCCTGGCTTCAGCTTCAGCTTCAGCTCGAGCTCCAGCTCCAGCTAGAGGATCAGCTCAGCAAAGGTAGCACAGGTGAGCGGCAAAACTTGGGCATAGATCATGCAACCAAATGACGTTTGGTCTGCGTATCAGCTCAAGAACTGTAGCTGTGGCCGTGGCTGTGGATGTGGCTGTGGCTCTGGTTCTGGCCTTGCCTTTGCCGTGTGTGACCTGTGTCAATGGCCGCAAACGCAAACGCAAACCCAGATGCAGACACATGGCAAGCCAGGCCAGGGCAGGGCAGGGCAGAGCAGAGCAGGGCAGGCAGACCAGGCAGCCAGTCGAGCTCATCCTGGCAGAATGCGCGCAATTGAAATGAAAATATTCGCAAATTGGCTGCGCCCTGCGACCGCTGCGATCTGTGCCTCAAACTCTTTCATGCTCTCCACCTCGCCCCATATCGCCTCCGACCGCAACGCCAACAAGACGGCGATCCCTGGCTAAAGCCCCGCAAATCCCAACCAGCTTTTAGGTTAACTCGACAACGTCGCTGCCTGCCAACTGTGGCTCCCACCGATTTGCTCTGGCTCCGATTGCTCTACAGAAATAGTCAATACAGCGGGAATACTTAGAGTGGATTCAGTAAGTAGATTCCGAATCGTAAATTAAGCTGAAACTGTTTTGGGAAACTGGTAGAGCATAAGAGAATGTCAATACTTGTAAAATATAAAATATTTATTTATTTTTTTATTTTATATATTTCTAGAATAGTAGTATACTAGACTAGAAATTGTATAAGAAAATACTTGGTACTGTACTTATATTTTTATATAAATCCATAGATGTTTATGTTAAATTGTATATATTGATTGAGATGATTTAAATAACAGTTTAAATATTTTTGTTCAGTATTAATTACATTTATAATATTTCTAATACTTAAACCCTATTATGCAAACTTTGATTATTTATAATTTGTTCATCTTTATATTTTCTTTGATCTTAAAATTTCGAGTCATATTCATATGACTGAAGTCTGTTTTGATTATATTCCTTTATCCAGTTTTTAGCTCACAATCTTTATCATTCATAAAAGAATCTAGTATTATGTCGATTATAAATTGTCAAGGAAATTATTGTAATTATTCGCAAAATAAAACAATGTCTTAGTCGAACTGCTCCTATCTTAACATAAATTATATATTAGTTCTTAACTTATTTCTATAAGTTCAGCTTAGATTTTACAGGGTATTAGCACGTTCAGCTATGCTTACCAGCAAAAATAATTTATTTCTCATTTTGTTTTCTCGCTGTTGTTGTTGTTGTTATTGTTGTCGCTTGATCTGTGAATGTTTTCATTTCCAGGCGAGCATGTCGATTTATTTGAATTTAATCTCTGGCTTAACATATTGCGCTCTGCGGTTTAGTTCGATTTTACTCTTGGCTCTGTTTAGTTTTTTGGTTTTTCGGTTTTTGCTTGGCTGCAGCATTTAGCATAGACCGAGTTGATGGAGTCCTGGGTCTGGGTGTTAGTTGTGGCAGGTCGAAGAGCTGAGTCAACTGCCTAAACAGAGTCAAAATAATTGCAAAGCCCTATAAGAGAGAATTGCAGATACCAGTTGGCCCCCAACTCGAACATTTACAACTAATAGATGCATTTTATGACCGACTATGTGTGTGTGTGTGTGTGTGTGTGTGTAGGAAGGTGTCCGGCATTTCCAGGGCCTCACTGTGCTTTGAGCTGAACTTCTAGTCGACGACCGCAGTGGAATTTGATTTATTTTATTTGGCGTTAAAAAGCCAAGCTGAATGATCATGTTTGGTGATCATCGCACTCGATACGAGCAGAACCAATGAACCCAACGGACGACAGCGACGACGACGACGACGACGACGACGACGACAACAACGAGGAGCAACATGTGTATGTATCTGGGCTTTGCAATTGGACACGGATAGCTCAATAGACACAGCAACAGCAACAGGAACAGCAGCAGCAGCAACGAGCAGCAGCAAGAGCAACAGCAGCTCGTTGCCTTCGCCTCGCTTGGCTTATTAGATGAAGGCATATAATAAAAGTGTTGCGGCTGCCGTGGAGTTGCAAAAATCTGGGAATCGCAAGTGGGCCGGGAGGGAGGTGCTGGCAATGCCACAAACCAGTTGGTAAAAGTTGGCAAAAAAGCAAAGCAGCTTAGATGCATTTTTACAGCCAACAGCCAAGAGGCTGTCCCCCCTTCCAGCACGGCCCATCCCTCACCGAGCCGCCGACTCAAACACCGATCTGTGCCCCGTTCAGGTTTACGTTGCGTTTGTTGCCTCGTTCGTTGGCTTTAATTTTTCCATTTGTTTTGGCATTTAAAAATGCGCTTCCTTGTGTGCCCATGAGACTGCATAGACACACAGTGTAATAGAGATAGTGACAGAGAGAGAGAGAGAGAGAGAGAGAACAAGCGAGAAAGGGAGAGAGGGAGAGTGTGTGGCTGGCCAGCAGCAACTTCTTGCGACTTGGCCTTAGCTCTTGGCCAAATGCAAAAAGCATTGAATTCCATGGATACTATTGACCCCAGAGCTCTGGACGAGCACAGTTTTGGCAGCGGCTTCTAATGATGTTGTTGTTGTTGTTGCTAGCTGCTCTTGTCATCATTGTTGTTGCTCTTGTTGTTGTAGTTGTTGTTCTGGTTGCTGCTGCTGCTGCTGTCTTTTGTGTGTCTCATTTAAATTTATTAAATTATATTTTGCAAACGTTGACGGCGGCTGCTTAAGTACACACACACATCCACACAAATGCAAGAAGTTGTTGTTGTTGTTCTTGCACGAAAAAAAAAGGAAAACAAAACCAACAAAATAAACGCAGCGAATGCGCATTTCCAAGAATTTCGAGCAGCTGCTTCCTGTGCTCCAGCACAATTTTTGCAGCAGTTGTCCACAGTGCTGTGGCATGTAAATTGCAACAACARCAACAATAACAACAGCAACCAAAGATACAAATGCACAGATACAAAAGCTCAGAAACAACGCACAAAATGTGCATCAGACACGGATCTTAACATTTAATAAGCACAGATTGAATGATTTGTGATATGTGAGCAAAGAGACGTAAAAGGAGATGCGGCGAGCGTGTGAAACACGTTAGCAGCAGCAGCTAATATGCCTTACAGTTATTGTTATTGACAGGGTATATTGGTCAAATGGAAATATATTGCCATAGGCTGATGATTCTATAAATTCAAAGTAAAAATAAATAAATAAAATATACAGCTATATATTAAATGTAAATTTTCAATATCATATAAAGTTGTATGTAGACTAAATTGAATTTCGTTTCATACCATTTTATTTTATTTCATTTCATTTCATACCATTTTACTTACAGAGGTCTTACGACCTTCACAGATCGTAGAGATCATCAAGCTAGCTCTTTTTATTCGACAAGTATTTACAGCAATTCCTTATTCATTCTTAATTATTATTTTGTGCTCAGCAAATCGATTTCCACTTCAGTTTGACTGGTGTACAAAACGGAATCCTTTAGCTGTTGAAGTGTTGTGTTGAATAGCCAAATGTTTGTTGTTTGTTGCTCGTTGTTTGTTGTTGTGCATCTGTTTGATGGATATAATACAATGTGGCATGAGTTGCATGTTGAGTATGGTTGTCTATCTGCCTCTCTCCTTCTCTTACTCTACCGTTTTTTGTTGCGCTTTGCATCTCATTCTGTCAACAGCTGTCAGTCGACAGTTGAGGAGCGAACAAAAGGGAAGATCACTGTCAAAATTTGTATTAAATAATAATATTAAATAAATAATAAAAAAATGAAATGAAATGAAACAACATGTATATACATATAATATGTGCGTGAGGTTGTCCTCGACTGGCAATGGTTGTTGTTGTTGTTGTGTTGTTGTTTGCATTTTGAGGGCATTTAATGACTGAGCGACAGTGCCAGGTGAAATACGAACAGTTGCCAGATACCCAGACAGACCCAGACCGAAACCGAAACCGAGACCGAAACGCGGACCGACAGGACAGACTCAAAGAGCTAAGCACAGACAGGTCCAAAAAATAAACATATATATATATATAAACATATATGTATATAAAAAAAAAACCAACAAAAATTATGGAGGATGCGGCCCTGTGCACAAGGCGAAGGTGGAACGCGCGCGCCTGCCTGGAATGTCGTACCAGTCACAAAACGGAGACGAAGACGAAGATGAAGCTGCAGTTGGCTGAAAAGGGGAAGCAGAACGAGAAGGAGGAGGAGGAGGAGGAGATGCAGAAGGCCTAAAGCCATGCCAGGCCGCAAGAGCTCAAGACTTTGTTTTAAATATTTAAACTTGCTGCAGGATCCAACTTCAACGCCAAGTCCGAGTCCAAGACCAAGTCCATGTCGACGGATCTTTGATGTTTTTTGCTGCACTGCCGATTAAAAAAAAAAAAATTTATAATGAGCGACGACGACGACGACGGCGACGACGACCGCACTCGTATTTTATATTTTTGCCTCTCGATTTTTCGTTTCGATTTCGCATTTAGAGACAGAAGGAGAGACCGAACGAGGCTCAGCTCAGCTCGGCTCAGTTCAGTTCAGCTGAGCTCTGCCAACAGTTCCGAGTCCCTCGCTCCATTTCCCCTCCCTTGGGTAACCCTTTGGCACTTAGTCAGTCATTTAGTCATTGGCCCGGCGACGACGTCAGATTGCGTCTGTTATTATTTTTATGTGCTTTTTCTTTGTCTTTTGCACCAATTTCTGCAAAATTTACTTAAATGCCACAGATACACATACACACACACACGCGCACGCAACTTGTGAAGAGGCAAAGCTAACTGCAGCGCCTCGTTCTGGCCATGCACAAAAGATACAAAAGATACCAGAGATATACATATGCATGTACATGCATGCACCTTATATATATATACACATATATATGTATACATATTTATATATATATATTTGTGTGTTTATTTATATATACAATCGCTCTGCTCATAATCCACTTTAATTTGTCTTTTGGCTGCCGCTTTTGTGGCTCGCTTCTTTTTCCCATTCTTTCTTTCTGCTGTCGCTGCCTGCACGAAGAATTTTAATTGAAACGAGTTTCAGACTTCAGTACTCAACTAAACGTAGGCCAAGTCCAAGAGTCTGCCACTAACAGTGGCTCTGCCTCAGCCTCAGCCTCTGCCTAGACCTGGGTCAAGTTTGCCCAAATAAAACTCCCACAGTCAACGAAACTGGTCACAGCTAGCCAAGAGGTTGCCTCGACTGGAATCCTCCACGCTGAGCCTTTACCCTGAGTTGGTCTTTTTTCTTTTGCTCAGATGTTAGAAATTGGAGCGTTAGATTGGCTCACAGAGATAGAGTTTCATGTGGTTGAACTAGATCGGAGATTTAGGATAATTATTTGGGCTAATGCTGAGTGCTACTATTCTTTATATATTATCCACATACTTTAATATATACAATTTTAATTATATAAAAGCTAAAATTCCAATAGCTTATTTGATCGAAATTTATGCCTTGTGAGAATCACATAGTAAGGCACAATATGAAAGTCCAATCGTTGCTGCTGCAAGTCTTTTTAGCTAATGTAATTCATGAGAATTAGAAAGAAAGGTATTATATCATATAATTATCCTGATTATTTCAGAATTAGTTGCCTTGCCAGAAAATAGGACAACAGCTTTAATATTCATGAGAATCACATCGAAGAGCATTATATAAAAGTCTCTATATGCAGTCTTTAGAATTCTTTTTATTGATACTGCAAACTTTTTAAGTATTCTTTAGTAAAAAATTTTCCGCTAATGGGATCAACTTTGCAGAGCATTAAATAGGTCGTCAGCAAGCCAAAACTTTTGCTCAGAGACTTTTCACCGGTCTTCTGATCAGCTTTTGGGCTCGAGAGCAAACGAACTCAACCGGATTCCATTTATTTTGACAATTGTGCTCGCATCTATTGAGCCTCAGAGCAGAGCTCATTGCCGTTTAGTGAGGCCAAACGCAAATATTGCTGACAAAACACTCGACACCTGATGCCATCTACTGGTATTCGAGCCCAGTTGTGGACGTGGAGCAAGCAATTTGTCTAGAGCTGACCAAACTGGTCGAATGCACGTGCAACAGCCGACAGAGTGAGAGAAAGAGAGAGGGCGAGAGAGGCAGAGGACACTTCTAAACTGGTCAAGTGCAGAGACAGGGACAGGGACAGGGCCTGGCAGTGGCACTGGTGCTCGGACTGGGTCTGGCTTGAACCTGAGCCGGTTGCTCAAAAACGACAAACAACAAACAGCAATTTGCAAAAAACTATTGACCTCAAAGTGGCAATGGCAGCAGGAGAAGCAGCAGGAGCAGCAGCAGGAGGGGCGGCGGCATGCGATTGGCGGTCCCTTCATATGAGTTAAGTGCTGTCTGCTAATTGAATTCCAATGGCAATACAATATTTTTGGGCTATTATGTTATTACCAAAAGATCGGCGCGTTCCATCGTCCACTGTGCATGCTCCATGGTTGGAGCCCTTCACTTGGTCATGGCAATTGGGCCGAACTTTCTTCGGGAGCCCACGTATCATTAAATTCACACCCGAAAGAAGAAAACCGAAGAGCAGCACAGGACTCAATTGGGAATTATGTTGTAATGCGTTGTGGTAATTACAATTTGTGGCCGGGTTAATGCGCATGTGCAACAACACGTCAACAGACGCACACGCAGCCAGCGCTGAAGTTGTTTGGCTGCTCACAAACAGAGCGAGGCAACACGGAGAGTGTGAGCGAGAGAGAGGAAGAGACGTTGCGAAGGGAGACCTGGGAGTCTGCGGCAGCAGGAATGAAATTTGAAACTGGCTATGCTTGTAAAATGGCCCAAACATGCGCCAACAGTGGCAAAGCAAACTGATCAAGCGACAGTTTTTGTGGATAAGGCAACAGGAGCGCAGCGAGGTGGCGAGTGGGCCTAGATGAGAGCAGAAGAGGGAGCAATGCATATGTATATATAAATGTTACTCTAGCCGAAGGTGCCAGCTCTCAGTACTAATTTAGTTTGAATTGTATGTTAAGTCTATTATTTAATAAATAAATAAATATATATGTTTTGTTTATTTTAGCTAAGGCTAATAATTAGCAAATAAATAAAATAAATGCTTGAACATTATACATAGATAATATACGATTTTATCCATCTATCTATAACGCCCCACTGCAATTGGCGCCCAAGCCCGCACAGCGCTCCTGTTGCAGCTGCTGCACATGGCCGTGGCGCAGGCGCTGTTTAGGCAACAGCAGCAGCAGCAGCAGCTGCAGCTCGAAGTCAGCGCGCACGCAGGTGCTGAAAACTTAATTATTGTATAACGCACGGCTCGTGCAGTCGGAGGATGAAGATCGGAGGATCTGGTTGCTATAGCTGCTGCTGCTGCTACTTGGGCTACTTGGGCTACTGAAGTATTCGCGGCAGCAGCCACTGTAAGTATTTGAGTTAATTAATATTTTTTGCCTGCTGCTCGACTTTGACGTCTTCTTGTTGTTGTTGTTATTGTATAAAAATGTTTTATTAATTTTGTTAATTAATTTTATGCCATTGAGCGCTGATAAATGTCAAAGCATATGAGCTAACCAGCTCTGGCTCTCTCTCTCTCCCTCTCTCTCTCTCTCTCTCTTTGGGCTTCCATCTTTCTCACTCCAGCTGTTTGTTCACTGCGTTTGTCGAACTGGTTTTTGTGCGCGCAGGCGCCAAAGCGCATGTTAAGGCTAATTGCAAACACCAAGAACAACAACACCAACAACAACAACAAACAGGACACTCGGCAATTAGCGCACGCGCCTAATTAATTAAGCCAGCAACAGTTTTTCTTTTCTTCCAGCTTTCGCCCTATTTCAAATCATCGGCCAAAGTTGCTTAGGATGTGTGTTGGCTGTGCATACCCAGTTTGCATACACACGAATGCACACACACACACACACACACGCACAGGTGTAACTGTCACTGAGTGTAACTATTTATGACTTAAACGAATTCGCCGTTGCATATTCTCACAGCCTGCGCATCGAGTTAGCTGAAGAATGTGGCCAATGCCGTTGTTGGCGCACAGTGGAGCAAGACTTATTAGCCTGCGAAACTCTATTTCTAAATATTTAGAGAGTTTCAAGAAATTTAGTAATTTTTTAAATATTTAAGGGATTTTCTAAAAGGAAGGAATTGGTACAATTAGATACCCTTATAAGTTTTATTTACTTTTAACTTCCAATATCTACTATAAGCTTCTAAATTACTCTATATATATTCGGGAATCTTCGTACCCTCACTAAAAAATGTGGAAGTGCTTTGCTATCTCTGTCCCACTGTGCATTGTCGTCGAGCTAAACAAGTTTTCCCCCCCAAGCAGGCCAGACATGCATGATGAAAAAAAAAGAGTATGCAATTGAATGATTGATTACTTGACTGATTGATGATTGAAGGTCTTGGCTTCGCTTTAAGTGACTGCCGACATGTTCACTGGGTGTTTCGGTGTTAATTACAGCGACAACTCGGCAACTGAGCAACTGAGCAACTGAGCAACTTGGCTGCTTGGCAAGTGCCTTCGCCAACTCGAATAGCTGACATCAATTAAGCATAAATAGCGCATAAATAGCGCATAAATAAATAAGCAAATCAACTACTAAATATGTGCATTCGACTACAATTAATCGCCGTCTAATACTGTCACTCATTCACACGTATTTCCCAACGCTCTTGCATGACGCTGGGTTTTCTTGTGGGGCGGTGGGCTTTTGATTGTCATTGAGAACTTTTACACAACTCTCAATTGCTTCAGGCACATTAAATTGACTGGCTGATGTAAACAGTATTAAGTACAGCATTTGAAAAGACAAGTCGGTTACTAGTGTAGTTAGTAATGATGAAAGATATCTGTCTGAAATTGTCATAGGTGTCAACTGCTTTTCACTGATTGACAAAGCGACTGACTGATGGGGTGAAATAAATTAAAGCCTACTGCTATTGATTATTAATGGATTATCACTAAATTTGTTGATTGATTGACTAATCGCTTGACTACCTATAACAGTATAATTGAATATTAAAATAAAGCAAACGTACTGACTGACTGGTTGAATGGCTGAGTGGATTTATTAGTCGACTGACTGAATGATGGGGTGGATGATTGACTGGCCAGCTTAGCTGATTGATAAACTAAATTACTCAGTGGTTGACTGATTGATTGAGCAATTGACAGCGACAAATATTTACATATTAAATCCCTGATTGATTGATTGAATGGCTTCGTTAAGAGTTTCACTGATTGAAACAATTAAATAGCTGCTGAAGAGGCTGTTGGGCTTGCTGAGTGATTGACTGACCTAACTAACTGAGTGGCAGACTGATTGATTTTCGACTGCTTGATTGATGGACTTGCCAACAAATCAGGTGATTGATTTGTAGGCATTTAAATGAACTGTTTAATGAATGTTTGATCTTCTTAAAGAGCTGCTTAAATGTATAATGATCTAAATTGTTGAGTGATTGATAGACTAAGCTGATTGACCGATTGAGGATTTTGTTTAAGTGACTATGGCATGATGAATAGATTGACTTACAAACTAAATCATTGGCCGAATAAATAAATCAGAATGTTAATCCAACACACAAGCCATAATTTAATAAGTCTACAGCCTAGCCGAACATTTTCAACTGCCAAGTTGTTAAGTACCCATATGCCCTGCATATTTCGATTTCTTAAAAAATTTGCCTATTCATTAAGTTCAATTGAAAATCAATTGCAGAGCATTTGTTAGTCGATAGTTTAGTTAAGCTCCATTGAATATTTGTTGTTGAACGCATGCCGTTGATAAAAGCATTTGCACACACTCGCAAAAACACATTCAATACCCACACACACACTGGTACACTCACCCACAGGTATTTCGATAGCAACACGCAGCTGAATGTAAAATGCAAACAGAAATTGCATGATGCTCGCTGCTGTTGCTCCTCTTGCTGCTGCTGTTGGAGGAGCCCCACTCATCGTTCGTCCTGCCCCCTGTGCTGGCTCTGTGTTTACACGTATGCTGTGTACAAATACGAGTTTTATGTATGTTATTTACTCAAACGGTGCAGGCTGGCAGCCGCCGCAACTGTGAGCACGAAGGATGCATCCAGCATCCATTTGCATAACCTCTGGGCGGAGACAACGGCAGAGTGGGGAGTGGGGGGTGGGTGGTGGGGAGTGAGGTGCCAACGCTTTATTTTAAAGCAATTTAAAATATTTAGTTGCAATTACATGTCAACAAATACGGCAGGACACAGGATAGCGAGCCAAGCACAGAGAGGACAGCAAGGACAACAGCGCCAGCTCGTTTTATTTATTGACAAACACRAATACAAATACAAATATAAATATAAACACAAAGGAGCTATAGCTATGCTCTTTAGCATGCTAGCCATTTGAGTGATTCAGTGGACACATGCTGCACTTTGAACTCGATGCAAAGCAAAAACAAAAAGCCGAACGTAAAGAATTGAGAGATTTTTGTATATTGCACAACGGTGCGTATGATTATTTTAAGTTTGCCATGGCCAAATATTGCGCATACGCAGCTCGGGCCAGACCAGTGGCAAAAACTAGAGACGAGAGTCTAGACAATGACAATGCCAAACGGCAGACAGCACAGTTAAAGGCAAAATACACACAGAGACAGAATGAGAGAGAGAGAGAGAGATAAAGAGAGACAGTGGGAGGGAGAGGGTGCCAACGAGACGAGACGTCGCCGACAAATGGACAGAAGATTTAATGGAAAAGTTGCTTCTGTTGTGGTGGATGGCAGGCTGCTGCAACAAGGATCCAGCTCTAGCTGAATCAGGCAGGCAAACAAACCAAACTGGCAACAAATAAACGCCAAAGGAACACCGGGCTCAGCGAGCAATGCGAGGATAGCGAGCAACGAGCACTGCGAGCACCTTTAGCCCATGTTGTCTGTTGGCTTAACGTTGCCTTTCATATGCCTGCCACATAGCCCTGTACATAGAGGCAGGCATTTACTTAATGTGCGGCTCGACTTCATGTTGCATGCCTCCTACTGCTTCTGCCCCTGCTGCTGCTCCTGCTGCTGCTCCTGCTCCGTCGTTGCATGCAGCCACCTCGCCAAATGGCAGGTAACATTCAACGCAATTTCGCCGACAACAAAACATGAAACGAAAACCAATGAACGCCGCCAGCAGCGTATAGTTCGCCGTAGTCTATCGTAGCTCTGCCTGCCTGAGTACGCTGCCTTCGCTCATTGTCTGCTTAAAGTTGGCCTGCGAACTGAAGTTAGTTGAATTTGCAACTGAGAGCCGAGACCGAAACTGTTAATTATTAATTGCTGCAACTGATCGATAAAGATGCCTGACTGCTTGGCTGCTTGACTGCAGTCTGCTAACAATGGGTGGCTAAGGATATGCCGCTTTAGCCTTTAATGAGAATCGCGTTGAAAGGCGATACGATGATAACTTGGCGTAGAAATCGATTGAGCTTGGATTAAATAGAGCGGTAAGACTTGGGAGATGCAGCAAATAGAAAAACATATAAAATGTGAAAGTGAGAGAGAGATAGAGAGAGAGAGAGCAGAAAGGATGAATGCAAGATAATAAAGTTGAAAAATGATTAAGATTCAAAGACGATTGTGGTCAGAAGAACTTCCACGATAGTTGAGTGGAAGACACAAAAAACCGAGCAAGAAGGAATAGTGAGAGAAAAAGATAGAGAAGTGAGACAGAGAGCAGGATGAAAGAAAAGGGAAGAGAAGAATAGATAGCCTTAGAGATAACAGAAATTATTGATGAGCAGACCTGCACCACAGAATTAAAGAAAGAGATTTTTAGCTAAACGAGAGAGAGAGAGAGTAAGTGGGAGAGAGAGTGAGAGAGAGAGTGGGTAAGAGAGAGAGAGAGTGGGTAAGAGAGAGTGGGAGAGTAAGAAACACAGATAGATTTAAGGCAAATGCGAGCATCAGCTTATGAGATAAGATAAGACAAGTAAGAAACGAAGAAGAAAGGGTAGCAGAGAGCGAAGCAGATTGAATACTGGGGATCAAATGCAACTAGAGTGAAGAGATGAGCAATAGAAATCACTGAATAGTAAAAATATATATATGCTAAAATATCAGCACTCTGCCAGTCTCGCGATCGAGTAAGCAGAAGAGAGAGAGAGAGAGAGAGGGACAGAAATGAAGAGAGTGACTGGGCTATCTCTATTCACTCCTTTATTTATTGATATTTCAGTTTATAATTGCAGCTCTTTCCACGTTAATTAACTTATTCGTGTCTGCAGTGGTAAATTGCTCTTTTCATTTAGCTAGTTTATTTATTTAATTTATTATCAAAATAAGCCGAGCTACAAATAAACAAACAAACGAGCGAACAAAAGGGGGAAATACGGCGCCCAGTCGGGCAACCCTTTGATTACGCATTTACCGAATGTGTTATTTTAATTTATAGCCCGTAATTTGCAACAAAACAGCAGCAGCAGCAGCAGCAKTGGCGGCAGCGGCGGCGGCACATGTGACACTTGCAACAGCAGCAATCAACAAGAAGAAGAAGAGAAGTTAAGCATTTACAATTTTGCAATATTTGAAACCGCAGCCGGCTAACCGACTATTGGGGCATGTTGTGATGTAGATGGCGGTCGGCGCCACGCTGTGCACATGTCATTACACTGCCCATTACAGTGAGAACACCTCTGTCTCTCTCTCGCTCCTTCAGCCATGCTACATGCCATATGCACCCGAACAATCCTCCAAACAGCTTCAATCAACAGCTAACAGCAAGCAGACAATATGTGGGTGGCAGGATATCGTTGATTCGAGCCATTGTTGTTGTTGTTGCGCATCAACTCTGTTAACAGCAACAACAGCAACAGAGACAGCGACAGAGACAGAGATGAGAGACAGCAACAACAACCAGCAGCACGTCGCATCATCATCAGCCGCAGCATTCAGAGAGACGCAGACTTATTATGTGAATTTATACGCTTGGGCAAACGAGATGTGTGTGTGTGTGTGTGTGTGTGTGAGTGTAACATCCTTTGCATATATACATATACATATATGCATGTGTGTGGGTGTGCTGTTGCCCGGGCAAATGTTATGCAAATTTGCAACGAGCGCGTGTGTAAATTGTTGTATGCATTGTTACCTTATAAAAACAGCGTAATTTTTAAATGGATTTTTCGCAAAAAGTGATTTTCCATACAAATTAACAAAAAAACAAAGGATAGAGAGAGCGTGTGCGGGAGAGAGAGACAGAGAGAGAGTGAGAGAGGTAGAGAGGAGGAGAGAGAATGAAGAGTATATGTGTGATATTTGTGAAAATGTTGTGGAAAATGCGGTGAAAATGTTGCATTGTGATATGCCATAAAAAGTGTAAGTGGAGTATATGCGAATGCCCAATGCTCTTCGTAGTAGATACCCTATAAAAATTTAAATATACACCTTAAATAACTCATAGCTCGTATTATGTAGAAAGTGTGGAAAGTAAAAATATACCCCATTTATACAATATAAGCTAATATTTCAAGAGGAAGGATATATTTGCGTTGCATTGGTAGCTCTATTTGTCTCTTGACTATTACAGAACAAAGGCTTAAAGATACTAAATAAAATACCCAAGATGAGAAAAAATACCCAATAGAACATATTAAGCGAAAGCTATTTTGTTTGTTTTTACTGCTGTATTCCTGTAAATACCGTAATATTCTTATATAGTCTATAAGAAATACTGTATTCCCAAATATATAATAATTATAGAAAAAAAATACAAAATATAATGCTTTATGGCATGCTTTATATATTAACTAACGGACTCGCAGTTAACTATAAAAGCGCTTCAAACTATTGTCATTTTACCTTTCAGCGGATTGGCTATTGGATAGGTATACAAATATGTATGTGCGTATGTATTGCTATAGAACATCTACATATACATATATCGAGAACTATAGTGTATATGAACATATGTATACAATGATTGAGATATTTGTATTTGCATACATTGCATTGTATATTAATATTTTTTTTTATGTTTTTTTTTTTCAGTGTATTTGCGAGAAAGGACAAACGTTTATTTAAGCGAGTGCATTGTAATTATTTTGAAATTTATTATTAAATTAATTTTAATTGTAATAATGCGCATGTTAAAATGCAGCTGCGCCTTTTTTTATTATTTTGATTTTAATTTATTTATTCAACACTTATGAAGGGGGAGACAGTGAGAGAGGCAGAGAGAGAGAGAGAGAGAGAGAGAGAGAGGGAGATAGAGATGGAGGCGTGTGCAGCAAGCGTTAATCATTTTCATTGGCAAAATAAAATGAAATTAAAAATGCATTTAATGCATAAAGAGAATTTGCAATGTTTACAGTTAAGCACACACACGCACACACTCGCAGCAGCTGCTGACCACATTTTATGCCTCATCTAATTGCAGCTGTGCGTATGCGTGTGTGTGTTTGTGTGTGTGTGTGTGTGCATATATTTTAATTAACCCAAAAAGCCAAAACAAATGTCGCCTCAGCTCCGAGTGGGCGTGTGCTCAACACAAGTGGGCGTGCCCGTGTCAATTGTTATTACGTGTGATTTGTAAACTAATACAAAGGCTTAAGAGTGCGTGTGCGTGTGTGCGTGTCTCTGTGTGTGTGTGTGTGTGTGCGTATGTGTGGTCTTTATATGTAGGCTGCAAATTGTTGAACAGATTTCGTTGCCTACTTTCAGGCGAGACGAAATGATAGCAGCAGCAACAATAACAACAGCAACAATGGCAAAGAGCTGCAGAGGAGTAAACTGTAAGAGTGGTGGAGTGTGAAGAGGAGAGAAGAGTGGAGTCAAGTGAAGAGATTCAGAGGAGCAGAGTGAAGAGTGAAACGTAACTCGTTAGAGACCAAAACGGACGTGCTTAAAATTTCACAAACTAACACACACACACACACACACACACACATACACACACTTCTACATGCGTAAAGAGTGCGTCTGTTTGGTTATGTTGGCTTGTGTTTGTGCGTATCCTTTATGGATTAAATCCGCATGCCTGCGGTTGGCCACAAGATCAACTGTTGGCAGAAGTATGTCAACACGAGTGCACGACGATGAGCTCACAGCAAGTGGTCATAATGGTTGACCTGTATGTGTGTGTGTGTGTGTGTGTGTGTGTTGTGCTAATAATGACGCATTAAGTGAGTGAGTGTGTGTGTGCGTGTGCTACAACAACAAGGATGTGGCATAGTGCGTCATTTACACACTCGTTGCATGCCTTGCATTGTTGCACAGGCATTTGCAACAGCTTCTTCAGCTTCTTCAGCTTGACTCCTGCTTATTGTTGTTGCTTAGGGCAATGCATTGGGTAATTGTAAGCGTGTTTAACTCAACAACAACTCAATTAAAATGCAATGCCAGTTGAGCAAATAACAATTTGTTGATTGTCTAGCCAATAAATTGCATAACAACTATTTCAGCGTGGCCCACCTGTCGTATGCGCAATATGATTTTTGTCATATTTCCATTACATTTGATTTTAATTGAAATGAATTAGCATCTGGGCAAGTGCTGGGATTACCTTGATTTGCGCTGTATATACATACATATATGTATATTAATATATGAATTTGATTGTCAATTTGGTTATAATTTGATTTCATTTGATTGGAAAATATGTGAACTAAATCAAGCGAAGATAGCCAAACTAGTGTGACTGAAAGATTTATGAATGCAGCTGAGATAAATAACATGTTAAATATGTTATAGTTTATAGATATAGGAATTTCAATTCTAAAGTCCAGCTAATAGCTCTTATATATCTTAAATGACTAGCTCAAAGAACTATTAGTTTATGACTGGTACCGGAACTATTCAAATGAACAGTCGAACTGAAAAAACGAACGTTGGGGTCTGCGATGATTCGTTCTGCTTGTTACATACTTTTCACAAAACCATTATACCTGATTTCCCATTTTCAATGGGTTCAGGGTATAAAAAAAGGTTTATCAAATTATACATTTAATAAAAAAGCATATTGCAAATATCTCTACACTTGCAGATCGAGTTTATTTCAATAAAATCCCATTTAAATGGGAACTTGAGTCTACATACTTTGCTTTTAGAGTCATAGAAATTTGAAATTAGCTACAATTTGTTGTTTTTGAAAACCGTTCAGTGACCTCAGTCAGTTTTTTAATTTGTTGATTTTTTCAAAATTTTGGTATCTCTTTGTTTCCACAAATCTATTATCATGGTCTCGTTAGCCATTTTAATAATTAATATCGGTTTATTTTATCTCTTTTTACTGATGAACAGAGGTAAGCCCTAACAAACCCAAGTGCACATGTATAAATATGTCGAGATTGCTCGACTTGGAGAGAATGTGATCCCTGTTGAACGGTATGAAGACATGCTCTATGGATTATATCGATATATACCCTATATAAGTCATTGTGCTTTGAGTGTTATTCTGATTGGAATATCAGTTGATGGCCCGGCTTAAAGGATCTCCTAATCGAGTAGTCTTGACTTGAGCAGTCTTCGACTTACCATTTTTCATTTCCTTTATTCTTTAAAGCCGAAGCCCAAGTAACCAGAATTGTCACCATTGAGGAATTTCCATATTTGGGCTCACTACGTAACCGCAAAAACGAGTCTAAATTGGCTGGCAGTGGATACCTATGTGAGGCGGCTCTTATTCATAATCGTGTGCTTCTCACAACTGCCGAATGTATAGAAGGGTATGTGTGTGTATTTGGGGAGAATCTGTTTTCTGATATTCGGAAATTATACTGTGCAGAAGAAAAGCAGAGGATGTACTGGGTGTAGTAGGGGCTACGTGCCTGCAAGGCATAACTACAACATCCAAAGTACTGGCAATCGCAACTTTAAGATGGCATGGCCTGTATAAACGTGGCGCATCAGCCTACAATATTGGACTGGCCTTCGCTGATGAAGATACACTACCCATTAAAGGGAAACTTGAATATATACCGATTGCCATGACGAGAACAAAACCATTCACAAAATGTCTTGGAGTCGGCTGGGCTGTAAATACTGATGTAAGCAAACAAATAATTATATTCACTATGTAAATTGATTTAAACTATTTGCGTTTTGTTTTTTCTACTTTAGGCATTGAGCAATTGGCCAATTGAACTACCAAACTATAGTGCCTCCGCAAAAACTTGTTATAGAGACACACGTACAATTGGTACGTTTTGCACCTACCAAAGATTTCGCAGAAGTCCTTCAGCGGACCATGATGACTCTGGTATTCCGATAACGTGCAACGGTAAACTTGCGGGAGTATTCATCTTACATCCATCCCATCGATTTCATGTGTTTACATCTGTGTACGCATTTAGAAAATGGATAAACGGAGCCATTTACCTCCACTTCAAAAAAGATCCGCCAGCGATGGAAGCGATGGCATCGATGGATGGCTCGATTTGCTTCCAGTGGCTATTTGTTTTGGCCATTAGCATTTATTTGGTTGGCTGACCCTAAAAACGTTAATGTGTATAATTCCTATATATGATTTTAATTTTATTTCTACATTAAAAATTATTTACCGTGTCCTGAAAGTCGGGAGACTACTTTAAAAAATATAATTCCAATAAAATATGTACAAATAATAATAAGCTAAACTATTTTAATAATAAATAATATAAAAAGATAAAATATAAGTAAAATTTTTAGAACGCGATAAATATTTATAATATTTATAAATTCAGTTTTAAATATATTACAATAAAATCTAAAAAAAAAAAAAAAAAAAAAATGCGCCGACCCACTTTGACTGCATATCAGATTATATCACTTTTGTAAGTCTCTTTCTTTTATGGACCTATGTAAAAAAAAATATATAAAAAATGTAAAAAAATATAAGGAATGTAAACAAATATATAATACATATATTGTAAGTGTAAAATAAATAGAACAAGTAAAAGTTTCCAGTCGAGACTGCGATACTTTGATTGGGAGATACTTTGAACCCTCTAAGCTGATATTCTACTCATTCTGTTACATACTTTTCGCAAAACCATTATACCCTGATTTTCCATTTTCAATGGGTTCAGGGTATAAAAAAAAAAAAAAACAAATAAAAGGCCAACAGACGAATGAAATGATTGCCTTTGATTATTTATATGCATAATCTTACACCAATTATTGTACACATACACAAATATTAAGAGATATTATTTATAGCTATGTATGCTACATACTCTATATGGGCAATATTACGCATACGCCATGTAATCGTATATTATAGCATCGCAGGCTTTCGCTTGTTAACGGACACATTGCCGAATGGCAATCATAATTGAGGTTACGGCAATGATGTGCATTTCATAAATAATACAGCAAAGTGCTGTGGCAAGTGTATGCATGTATGTGTGTGTGTATGTGTGTGTGTATGTGTGTGCTGTGGCATGCGTGTATTTATGTGGCTGTCAGTACGATAAACTCGTATTCAATATGAATATGCGTTGAAGTCCTTGAGCAGGAAACGAAATACACTCAGCCAGCCCATACACACACACACACACACACACACATGCACACACACACACGCACACACATACATGCAGACACGCATATCCTGAATTGATGGCCAATGCATTGAGGCAAGTAATAAACTTATTGGCCCAACGGCTTTCCGTTGATTATGCGTATGTGTGGCACAATATGGCGGCACGCAGTCAAACAGTCAGTCATTCAGTCAATCAGTCAATCAGTCAGCCAGGCAGCCAGGCAGCCAGTCAGTCTGTCAGTCATCCAGTCAGAGGGTTGGCCTATCCATGACCAGGCAACATTGTTAATGTGGCACTGTTAAACAGATAATGAGTGGGGCATGCGACATGGACACGAGCATTGTGGCAGGATAATGCGAATGATAAAGAAGATAATGATAATAATGATGATGTGAATGTGAATGTGGGTGTGGATGTGAATGGTGATGATGATGATTGTTGGTATTGCGGCATGGCAAGCGGACAAATGTCAGGCTGAAATTCTGTTGTATGGAAATATAATTATTGGGAAATGTGCGATTGTCGTACGGTTTCCGTTTACACACACACACACACACAGAAAGAGGGGGACACAGAGCGCGCGAGAGAGAGAGAGAGAGAAAGAGAGATAGAGTATGGCAGGCAGTGTATCGATTATGTTTTACACACGTACACACACTCGCACACGTGCTTCCGTTACATTTGCCACATAACATCATAATTTATGCATGCAAAATGACATAACAGTTGCAATATTATAAACTCACACAGATACACACACACACACACACACACACACACACACACACACACACATAAGCATATACAATGGGCAGGCACAGTAAGAGATACAGTTACAAATAGAGTAACAGTTGCAGCAAAAATATCATACAAATATAAAAATACAACCAATTCGCCGTGGGAAGAGCGGGGCGAAATGACAGAGGCAGAGTAAACAGTAATTCCGAAATGAATTTCATTTAACAAATATATTAACAAGTACAACAACAACGACAACAACGCCAAGCAAAAGCACAGCCAACATATGGAAATGGAAATGCGACGTCGCTTCGCTGCAGCCGCAGACAGTTCATATGTAAATACAAAATATCACACACACATTCTCACATTTACATGTGTGCGTCGTCGCCCCATCGCACTTGTAGGGCAGGCCGCGGCAGAGCATTTATGCCAGCAGCAGCGCCGCCGGTAAAGCAGAAATACAAAACAACAAAAAAAGAAAAAGCACAAAAAGCGTAACGCGACGACAGCGACGCCAGCAGCAACAGCAGCAGCGGCAGCGGCAGCAGTAACAACACCAACAACAATCAATTGGCAATCTGTCCCACTGAAAAAACAATTGCACACACACACACACATTCATACACACGTGCGCCGTTACTTGTGAGCGCTCAAGAGCGCCGCTCAATTTCAGTGTTGCCGTGCTGCCCATAGCAATGTTGCCGTGCTGCCAGTCAGTTTGGTTCTCTCTGAAACACCACTACACACAAAAAAACTCGTTCTCGCTCTTTCCTTGGCTCTCTCTCTCTCTTGATTACGCTCTCAYTCGTTCGTGCGCTCCCGCCCGGCATCCCCGCGATAAACTCAACGCATAACAAAAAGCCAATTTTGTTACTTAAATGTTTACGCTTGTGTTTATCTTTTGTATTCGGTTTCTTATTAGGTTCTCATCTCGTTCTCATCGTTTAACAATTTGAGATATGATGGGAGCTGCGTCGGCAGCGACGTCGTTGCTGACGATTGTGCTTGTGTGCGTGTGTGTGTTTGGATATATGTTGCTTTTGCCTGTGGTTTTGATTTTGATTTTTGTTCTGCTGCCATTGCTGGCCGAGGCAGCGGCAGCGCTGGCAGGCGACGCTAAGCGACGCGACGGGCGCTGTTGCTGTGCGTTGTTTTTGGGGGCTTTTGCTAATGAGTGTGATTTAGACTTGTCGAGCTGGTTTATTATTTTGCGGTGTTTGCGCTCTTGTTGCTGTCGTTGTTGTTGCTGCTGCTGCTGTTGTGTGTGCGCTTTTGTGTTGCTCTCCTCCCAATGCCTTGATTGATGTTGTTGCTGTTGCGGTGTGGTCCGCTACGCCGGCAGCGGCTCGACTGCGGTATTTTGTATTTGGATTAAATAGTTTTGACAGCTTCCCAATTGTTAATCCATGCGATTTTTTGTCGATTAGCGAGCTTTATTTAATTTTAGAATATGCTAATTGACAACTATTAAATAAATATTTTCTGGTACCCATATTATAAGAACTATAAATAATTTTAAAAATATTAATTTTAGGTAAAATGTATTGTTTGCATAATTAATTATATAAATTATCCCAATTATCAATAAATTTAAAACGCAAAACCTACTCCAAAGTCAAAAGCGCCGAACGGAATCAAAGAGAACACAAAAAATTAAATAAATATAGACATACATACATATACATATATATATATTAAAGTCAATTTGCAAAATGAGAACGTTCGCTCGTGTTCGGTTTGATATGTTAATGTGTACAAATGTGCATAAACACACGAACACACTCAAACTCACTCAAACACTGTCACACACACACCCGTACTCGCACTCACTCGTACACACACGCACACACACATGCATATGCGTACTTGCGCGCATTGTAAGCTCTGTGTGAAAAACATGAATCCAGCGCTTTGCGGTCGAACGGTGTTGGTAGGCGTCGGCATCGGCAGCGGGGGCGGGGCTGGCCGGTTCGACGTGAAGCATATCAGGCATGAACACAAACACATCAATACTCACTCTCTTATTGTGGGTCGACGTAGTCGTCGTCGTCGTCGACGGCGCCGCTGTCGCTACAGGGATTAAGCATGACAACGACAACGACAACAGCAACAACAACAAAAACAACGTCAACACAACCATGACGATTGCGTTGCCGCTGCCGCTGCCGAATGACCAAACGAGTGTTTGAGGTGAAGTGGGGGCACAAGGTAGCATGCAAAAAGTAATTGGGAGCAGAAAGAGCAAAAACAACATCACCAGCACTAGCACCAGCAGTAGCAGCAGCAGCAGCAGCAGCAGAAGCAGAGGCAGTGGCAGCGACGCGCAAGGTGGCGGCAGCGTTCGACACGCAACAAGTTCGATGCAACCTGCTACGACGCCAAGCTCTCGCGCTTCGGCTCTCTTTATTGCTCTCTCTGTTTAGTCTCTCTATCTTGCTCCCGCACGGCCTGTCTCAATTTGTTGCGCTCTCTTTGCTTTGCTTGGTGCGCTCGGTTCGCTGGTCGCGTGTTGCTTCATAATTTCTAGCTGTTTGTTTGTTTGTTTGAGGGAGCGAGCAATTGGGGGTCACTCACACACACACWTACGCACACATATACATATGTATATGTATATTTATACATATATAAAGGCAGAGAGAGGCATGGCGGAGGCACCAACATACTGTCAGTCATTATTTAGCGTACAAGAGTGGGTGTGAGCGAGAAGGAGCAGCAGGCGAGAGCGGTGGGAGGCACCATAAAAGCTTCGTGTCGCAGTCGTCGGCTATATCGTGTCTATGCCTGAGTGTGTGTGTGTGTGTGTATGTGAAACATATTGAGCAAACAAGTTCGCAGCTTCTGAGCGCTTTTCGGAGTAGGGGCTGGGGTCGAGACCGGGACTGTGGCTGCGGCCAAGCCTGAGTGGGTGGCGAGCGGGGCGGGTGGGCCGTTGGCAGTCATCGGAAGTCAATGTAACAACAAACATGCAAACAGTCGCACACTCACACGCTCACACAAAGCTACGTGCGAGTGTGTGCGACTGTGTATGCACGCTCTCGTGTGGAGTTATTTAAGCTCTCTTATTATTTCATTTGTCGCTTTTAGCTTTTGTCTTTCGTGTTGCCTCTCGTTGCTGTCGCTGTTGTTGCTATTGTTGTTGTCGCTGTCGCTGCTGCTGTTGTTGTTGTTGCTGCTGACTGGGTGGCTGTTTGGCTGCTTAACTGCTTTGTGTGTTGGCCGGGTCGCTTGGTTGGCTACAAAAAATGTGGTAATGTGCGAAAGTCCT